GAAAGCAGGTTATTAGGCGTTTGGTGTACACGGGGAAACAGCAGGCACGAAAAGGCAGGAATTAGTTGGCATGGCATTTTCCAAACACTATCAGCCTCTTATAAAACCTCTTCAGCGTGACCCACATCGTAAAGAAACACTAACTTTAGGGAGCCAGATGATGGGATTCACTCATCAGATTCTCTTCCTCCCAGAAATAAAACTGCTTACGATGGAAAACGTCGCATAAATGAAGTAAGTAGGTTGTAAAAAGAAAATAATGCAGTTATTCGTTCATACTAAAAATCAGCTGGTGCATGAAAATAGCTGAATTAATACAAAGATCTGAAGGTAAAATGAGTTGTTTGTGTTCGTTTTCTTGGAGTCTTGGGTTGAGAACGTGATAGTTGGATATTTACGGCTGTTTGTGGTTAAACTAAAGGTCTATCTCTTCGTGGGATCCTTTCCATAAATGCTGTTTCCAGACACTGACAATTAACAACCTGAGTCTGTCAGTGGCAGAAACACTGTTAGTGGACGGACTCTGACGGGTGCATTCCTAAGGATTAGCTAACGTTACGTGGCAGCATTACGTGTTTATTTCAACCAAACCGGAGTTGGTGTGGTGAAACACTATCAAAGTGTGTCTCATCATCTGGGAGGTAAAATTAGTGTTTCTGTCAATGGAGTCTGGTGAGACGCAGCGCTCGCTCATTTGTTGTGGTCTGACACGCTCGTCCTCTAGTGCAGTGGTTCTCAACCTGGGGTTCGGGTACGCACAATGGGTCACAAAAGGTTCACGAGGGGTCGCAAGGCCTTCTTGATTTTAAGGCGTGAAGGAAAATATTTAAAATATACAGTAAAATATGCAGTTATAACAACCAAGGAGCTAATAGAACAAGTGTCACTGAAGAAAACACTGAATTTGTCAAAAAAAGAAGCCTATTAAGTCTGTATGATTGTAAAAAAATTTAAAATACACAATACAGACTCACCTTGTATCAATATTAACAGGAAATAATCGGCTCAAACTTTAAGTTTAAACAAACTTCCTGCAGTTATTGTGTTTACAGTTCATCAGTTGTTCTCTAC